TCAAAAAAATTATGTTTGACTGTATTTATACAATAATACACCAACATTTATGCCATCAAATTAGTAGAATTACATTCATAATAAAATATATTTTTATCATATACTTATTTGGTTTCAAAAACATTGATATATTTTTGCACAAAATCGGTCAAACTTTGAGATGGTTTGACCCTCCAACAATGTTGGAAGTATACTCTTTGAAGGATGGAGGGAGTATATCATAAGTTACAAATAAAAAGTAGCAATGGACTTATAATATAGTTTCTAGAATAATCTTCAAAGAGAAATAAACTTGGTAGGGTAAACAATGAATTTATGATCTTTAGTCTTTAGCCGACACATCAGTCTTTACAACCTTAAAATATACTGATCTAAAATATTCATAGCTTGAAAGAACAAGTAGATTTCCTATAACAAAATAAATAAAAAATAGTTAGGTGTGGTGACTGGTGAGCGGACAGACACATTAGTGTGGTCAAAAGGAACAACAACATTTTAACATGCCTACAAAAAACAGAAAATACGGGAGGACACTGTAATATCATGCAAAAGAAGAAATCACCTCAGAGACTTCTCCCTTTTTAGGAGAACTGTATCAAACACCTGAGTTGTACAAAAATACGAAATTAGCAACTATCGGTACTTCATTCACATTCAGTTATATGAGTTCCATCATTTACAACCTGCAATATTTAACTCTTGCTAGTCCTTAGAGCTAGAAGTACACATATTAGATTGGGAAGATCACATTCAGTTAGTCCAAATTAATCAATGAACTACTAAACTAAGTTTGCTTGTGTGCACAATAATATGCACCCATCAATGATCTGGCTATGCAAACATCTATAATTTATAATTTTCTAGGATCCTCGGGTCCGAGTATACCTTCACTAAACTGCTGCTCAGGTTGGTCACCTCGGATCACATAAGTGCCTACAACACTTTCAGTAACAGACTTGCTAAAACTTCTTACTACTGGCACGCTTTCATGCAAAGTAGGTTCGATCAAAGAGCATCAAGGGAGAGTGAGTACCTAAAAATTCTGAAGATCTCGAACGTAACCTCCTGCAGGTGGCACGCTGAACGAGAAGGGGGCAAGGCTGCTGGATCAAAATCTCGACGTCCTCCGTCATCTTCTAATCAGACTACTCAACTCATTTTCATATACCTGAATTAAATTTTAGAAAAATGAAATTTCATGACTACATAGATGAGATGGTCTAGAAGTAGGGGAGGGTGTGTACCTACGTCAACAACACAGTAACGTATACGGAGAAAGGTCCATCGTGCACTTGCCTCAACACGACGATTAATCGGAAGAACCATCCTCCACACCTGGAGCGCTCAGTCCTGTAGGTAGTCTAGTATTTAAAACAACTCCATTCTAACTGCAAGAATACACATTGTCGCTTGTGAGCAGAACCATGGCTCCACATCCATACTGATCGTGTTGACACTTAAATATAAACATGGATAGTCAGAACCACACAAAGTACCCGCAGATGTTGCAGCCTTATTTCCTGCAGTAGTTCAGGCTGCATATCGAGCACTTAAGTACCAATCTGGTCAGCGATTACAGTGGCACACATTGATGATGCTCAGTGTTGGTGATTCACTTCTAGTATATGCACAGAGAAATTAAATCACCTTATAGCATCTAACATGTATTCGTTGTGATACTGTATCCTCTTATCATCTTTTTTTTAGGACCAACCCAGCTACACTTAGATAACATTGGGAGAGCTATTACAATCCTCCATGAGGATCCTTCTTAAAGAAAGTGGAACGTCTCCGATTATAAGATAGTCTCCCTGTCTCCTTGCTTGAGCCGCAAGCTCATGCGCCATTTTGTAGCTGGATCTTCTCACATCTCTGAAGGACACTTCTTTGAACACATTCTCGAAGTGCCAGATGTCCGCTACTCGGGCAAACCGGGCCGATCGGTTGCATGCTCTGTTATTCAGCAATGTGACAATTGATGCACAGTCCGACTCCACACACACTGGACCTCTGTAGTACTTGCTTAACACTGCAAGTCCATGTGCAACAGCAGCAAATTCAGCTTCCTCCGGGTCCTCACAAGCTTGCAAGCGTTGGCCACCTGCCAAAACAACCACACCCTCATTTGTTCTGGCAATAAAACCTGCCGCAGAATCTCTCGTATTGGACAGGAAGGATGTGTCAGTGTTTAATTTCCAAATGCCTTCAGCTGGCGGTTGCCACTTGCTTCTCTCCGTATGTGTTGGCACTGATGATCTTAATTCAGTTTGGTTCACACGTGTCCCATTGCATTCAGTGATCTTACGGATGCTTCCCCCGTACTGCCCCTGGGGCTTCTTTCCATTTTTGATTTCCGCGCATCGCATCTCAACTAAGCTAGCTCCCTGGTGGCCGACCATGTTATCATCTACCTCATATTCAGTGAACTCAGCTCTATCAGGTCTTGTTTCTACTGCATATTTAGTCAAGAAACTCACTGACTGACAAATCTTGAAGACATTTTCCAACCTATCAAGCCTGCCATATATAAGTAGTTAATTATCACTGACAATTTATTTAAGAGCAAAAATCTTATCGGCAGGCAACTGTACAATCTTCAGCGACTTACCATTCTTAGTAATGAACACAGGCAGATTTCCATACTTCTTTTTAACATGTTTCACCAGACTGAACATTCCCTAGGGAACTAACTACTACACAACATTATATGCTAGGAACGACGGGATGCACGTCAGGAAACTTGTCATGAATGATGCTTCAACGGATGCTGCAGTCATCTCAACTGCTCAGTCATGATGAAAAAGCATATGATAATCCCCATAATCTAGTGTCAATATTACTGATTTCTGCATGTCCTATGCAGCTTACAGGCATGGAAAGAAAATAGGAAAAACGATATACTTGCAGCTTCAGGTTTTCTCTAAACTTTTGTTTGCCATCTTATTTAATCACGTGTTCAATTGATAATACACAAATATTTGTCTTATTTCAGGCAGCATTGAGTTGGCTGCACGTGGTTTATGCCTATCAACAAAAGTTAGATCAAATTGAGTGTGTTTGCATACAGATTCTGAATATGCAGAAAGGGTATTACATACTCCCTCCGTTTCTTTTTACTCCGCATATAAGATTTGGTCAAAGTCAAACTACATAAAGTTTGACCAAATTTATATAAAAAAATATGAACATCTACAATACTAAAACTATATAGTATGAAAATACGTTTCATGGTGCATCTGATAATATTGATTTCATATTTTGAATGTTAATAGTTTTTAATATAAAGTTAGTCAAACTCTATAAAGTTTGACTTTAACCAAACCTTATATGCAGACTAAAAAGAAACGGAGGGAGTACTATCCAAGATTTCGCTGTCAAGCTTATTCTTATACTGGTGGCATATACATCATGAAATAAGAAACCGAACAGTTGGGTGATCCTACATGGTGCGTTACTCCTAAGCAGTACTGACAACTATCCAACGATTGCAGAATAATGAGCTGGAGTGGATAGGATGATGGATAACCTTTGATACAGAAATACTTGTGCTTACCCTGGCTTTTCTCCACGTATAGGTTAAATTAAATACACAAAACGACAATGATGAAATTAGAAAGATATATTATGAATGTATTAATATTGTCAACAATATCAGGTGCTCATTTCTTTCTCGATTCCATCATATATGATAATGGTCATAGTAGAACAGATCAGAGAAGTTACCTTGGCAGGCAACAAATGGTGATGATGTTGAGCACCTTGGATGGTGGGCATCCTCCTTGAGCAGATGGGATTGAAGCAGCTTCTCCTCTCCATGAAACATGGACAAAAGTAGACGGCACGCATCACACAAGGGTGAAGAAAACCAGATAAGTGGAGGGATTAGTACCTCCTGTCTGCTCGGTCGTCATGGGCAAAGAAGGGCTAGGGTTGGGGATGCTTCACGAACAGGAGAGATGTTCTCCTGCAGCACAGAAGAGAGGGAACTTTATGAACAACATCAACTCCACATCGAAAACTGAGATAGAGAAGTGATGGAGAGGGCACCTTCTTCATGGCGTTGGCATCAGGGTTAGAGCCGCAACGAGCACCCTCTTCACGCGGCTTGAACCTGCACACCGGGGCGCTCGCGCCGCCTTCGTCGTGGATCCGGACCTGCTGCTCGATCTGGAGCGAGGGGAAGGCGATTAGGTCGTCGGTGATGACGATAAGGGGAGGGGAGGAGAGAAGGGGTGGGGCGCAGGATGTGGGGGAGGGCGCTGGCGGCGGCGGCTATGAGGGAGGGCGCGGGCCGTTGAGTGGTGGTGGCGGCGGACGAGGGAGAGAGGGAGAGGAATCGGGGGATGGGGATTGGGGGAACGTGGGCTAGGGTGGGCGATCCACTTCTGGCTGTTCCTCTCTCCCTTCCCCAGTACGCCACGCGAACCAGAGAAAAAAAGGCTACCGCAAACAGTACTTGTGTCCACGTGGCTGCAACCAGCGCTAGCCCTTGATGCACACCTTATTGTTTGGTACTCGGGTCACTAGGAAAGCCAACAGCTCTGGCATCCGGAGTTGTAACAGGCCAGCAGAGCCCTGAGGGGAACTAGGCGGAACCATCCCGTGCCGGTGCCACGCTCGATGGTTGCCCGACGAGCTTCGGCAGTGTGAGCTTCGGCTATCCCTTCGGCATCGGATCCAGGTGCTCCCGTGGACCTGACTTCAACCTCATTTGCAACCACACCACTCAGCCCCCCAGGCTCTTCTTACATGACGGCATCACCAAGGTGACCAACTTTGGCCGTCCTCTTTTTACTATGAACTTGATCGAGGCCTCCTTCTTGTATACCATCCCCGTAAAATCTAGTGCCAATATTTACAACTTCTCTCTCAAACCGCTTGGGAGGTCCTTCCATCCTATTAAGCCTGATCTAATCGTCACCGGCTGCGCGCTGGAGGTGTACTCTGTCAAAGAGGATGGCGTCCAGTTCATATGTGGAACTGTGTGCCCGAACCCAGAAATGACAAAGATGGTGGCTATGGACAAATGTAATGGCTTTGGATGCTGCCGTGTACACGTGGAAAGCTATGCCAGCACTTATCAGTTCAAATCTGTCTCTAACCACAACACAAAAAACACCAGCATCAGATCTAACCAGACCTCTCACTTGTGGGATAAAATTAGGGTAAGTGCTCATGTCTTACAGCTCACATGGAAAATTCAGGATCAACCCACCTGTGCTGCGTGTGTCAGCGAGCATGCCGAGTGCAACCACAACGATCCACTAGATGTATACGGTGCACCAACAATAACAAGTGGCTACTACTGCACCTGCCATTTCGGCTATTCAGGCAACCCCTACATTCTACATGGCTGCTCCAGCAATGATAAAGGTAACTTTTATTTTCCTTCCACCTAATGAAGTGACCAGCGCACAGCTGCTGTTAGGCATTTTGGGCATCGTTACATATGCTAACTCTTTACTGATAAATTTAGGGTATAATCCAATTCCGAGCGGGGCTAACTGTACCCGCTGGTGTGGTAACATTAATGTGCAATTCCCATTCGGCTTCGAAAAGGGTTGCTTTGCCAGGGATGAGTTTCACCTCAATTGCACAAATATGACGTCATCAGCTGCCCTGCTCATGCTCATGCAGGAGGAGCAACAGGTCATTGACATAAATGTCAACGAAGGGACCTTCAATGTTACCGTTGCTTCTGATGGGCATGTGAGTCAATCAGATTTAGATTGGGCTCAACAGGCTCAACAGGCTCAACAGATTCATATTTCCGCATATGGGTATATTTTGTTTTATAAATGGGTTGCTGCTCATCTAAGTTGCGTAGAGGCCCAACACAATAGGTCTGGATATGCTTGTGTGAGTACAAACAGCAAGTGTGTGGAAGTAAGGGATAAAGTGATGACTAGTTACCGCTGCAGATGCTTTGATGGCTTCCAAGGAAATCCTTACATCCAAAATGGTTGTCAAGGTACTCCCTCCCTCCCTCCCTCTCTCTAGGTTACAAATGATACAACCCCTATAGTTGCAGAAAATGTATTGTTAGCTATTTCGTATAACTTCCCAAAAGAAAGTTGTACATATGTATTAAACGGCATGTTTTATGAAAGTAACTGCATGTTACTATTAGGTAATGATTTTTGCGCAACTTCTAATTTTTTTATCATTCATGTAGGTTTCATTTAATTGGCTGATGTGCTGTTTCATTGTTTTTTGAAGGGATGTTGTGTTCCATGCCACTCCCGATGATTCATGATATAAAAGTATAAGAATTCATGCTGTTTGCGAAAATAGGTTTAACCATCAATATAAAAAATCGAACATGGACAATATCGAATTTCAGATTGTAGATTAGTCATGACAAATATTTTTGTTGTATTTAATTATTTCTGTTAGAAACAACCTACTTTTTCTGAAATGTATATTACAATGTTACTATTGAGACCATGGTGACGTCCTAAATTAAATGTAAATCAGAGGGACGTATATATTTTTCAACGCATCTTATTAAGATTTTGTTAATTTTCAGACATTGATGAATGCCCTCAACCGAACAAATGTAAAGGGATCTGCCATGATACCAAAGGAAGCTTCAGTTGTACTGCCTGTCCTCACAAGACTGAGTATGATCCGTTAAAAATGCAGTGTACTAAGATAAAACAAGAGCCTCTGCTCTTAGGTAAGACTATATTATTGTTACATTTATGATAGACAGCAAAATACAGCAAACTTAAGAGCTTAATGTCTGCAGGTATAATTATTGGGATGTCCTGTGGTTTTGGCGTTCTACTTCTGAGCTTCAGTGCAGTACTTTTCACTCGTAGGTGGAAAAAGAATGTTCAGAAGCAACTACGGAAGAACTATTTCCGAAAGAACCAAGGTCTTCTCCTAGAAACATTGATATCATCTGATGAAACTGCAAATGACAATACAAAGATTTTCTCATTACAAGAGCTAGAGAAGGCAACAAGCAACTTTGATCCTACACGTATCATCGGACGTGGAGGCCATGGCATGGTTTACAAAGGCATATTGTCTGATCAGCGTGTTGTTGCAGTAAAAAAGTCTAAGGTCATGGAGCAATCTGAGATCAGTCAATTCATCAATGAGGTTGCAGTCCTCACTCAGATAAGGCACCGAAATATTGTGAAGCTCTTTGGATGTTGTCTCGAAACTGAGGTTCCACTGCTGGTGTATGATTATGTATCCAGTGGCTCACTGTCTGAAGTTCTTCATGCAGATGACAGGGATGGTTTTTCTTTGTCTTGGGGTGATTACTTAAGGATTGCCCTGGAAACAGCAGGAGCTCTGTCTTATCTCCACTCTTCAGCTTCAATATCAATCTTCCACCGTGACGTGAAATCCTCAAATATACTATTGGATGTGAACTACACAGCTAAAGTTTCAGATTTTGGTGCGTCCAGATTGGTTCCGATCAATCAAACACACATTGTTACGAATGTGCAAGGTACATTTGGTTACTTAGATCCAGAGTATTTCCATACCAGGCAGCTGAACGGGAAGAGCGACGTCTACAGCTTTGGTGTGGTACTTGTGGAGTTACTTCTCAAAATGAAACCTATCTTTACAAGTGAATCGGGCACAATCAAGAGCTTGTCAAACTATTTTCTTGAGGAGTTCAATGAGGGAAGAATCACAGTCATTGTTAACTCCCAGGTCCTTGAGGAAGCAGCCGAGGAAGAGATCAACAGTATCGCCACTCTTGCAGAGCGGTGCTTGAGGCTGCGTGGTGAAGATAGACCCACAATGAAAGAGGTGGAGACAGAGCTACAGACTCTACGAGCAAATCGTCTGATCTTATGTCAAGTAGATCCAAGAAACGAGGAACAGATGCAACCAAGGTTGCCAACTCGGCCAGGAGACAGCGGAAGGCGATATAGCTTGGAGATGGAGTTCATGTCATCTGCTAGCCTGCCACGCTAGATGAGTCTGTTGAGTTCATAATAATGGATACTTTGTTTTCTCTTTTGTGAACTAATGCTAGGTTTCGTATTACGTGATAATTTGATTGGTATTGTAATAACTCAGTTGTGTCCAGATAATTTCAGGCACTATGATTAAATCAGTTTCAAGTTTGGAATTACAAATGCTAGTTTATACATGTAATCCTTATTTTTATTAGAGAAAAGTATACTTTTCATCTCTCAATTCTTGGCGGAGTCTAGATTTGGTCCCTCAACTCTAAAACCGGACAACTTACACCCTTAACTTCTCAAACCGGACAAGATTCATCGCTGGTCACGGTTTTGACCGGTTTTGGTGGTGTCCCACCCTAGTTTTAACCGTTCCTTGTTTCAAAAAAAAATAGTTTTAACCGTTCCGACTCAAATTTGCCTACCTTTTCCAAGTCCACGTACTGTTTTTAAATTCGGTTACTTTTTCAAATACGTGAACCTTTTTAAATTTTGTGTATTTTTTTAAATCGGCGTACTTTTTTTCCAAGTTCAGGTATTTTTTTCAAAAATGCATATGTTTTTTAAAGTTCACTTAGTTTTTTTAAGTTTTAATTTTTTAAAATTGATGCACCTTTCATATTCGAGTACATTTTTCTGAAAGAGTTCATGAATTTGAAAATTTTATGCGGACTTGAAAAAAGTATGCGGATATGGACTTCTTTTGCGCAAAATATGTGGATTTCAAAAATTATTTCAACTTGAAACAAGTATGTGAATTTCATACAAAGTTCATGGATTATAAAAGCAACACGGGTTTGAAAGAAAAATGGACTTTGAAAAGCATGTGGATTTGAAATAAGTATGCGAATTTCAGAAACAATTCATGGCTTTGAAAAACACTTGGATCTGATAAATTTACACAAATTTGGGAAAAATACGGGGATTTGGAAAAAATATGTAAATGTTAAAAATCACGGATTTGAAAAAAGTACGCGAATTTCAGAATAGTTCGCTGATTTGAAAAAAATTATGTTTATTTTTTAAAAAATACGCGACCTTGAAAAACTATGCAGAGTTGAAAAGTGTATGTGAATTTCAAAAAGTTCACGGATATAAAAAAATTGCAGGAATATGAGTGAGCACCGGTCAAAACCGGGGTGAGTCAACACCAAAAACCAGTCAAAACCGAGTCCAGGGACAAACCTTGTCCGGTTTCGGTAGTTGGGGGTGCAAGTTGTCCGGTTTTAAAGTTGAGGGACCAAATCTAGACTTCACCAAGAGTTGAGAGACGAAAAGTATACTTTTCTCTTTTTATTACACTGAGATGTGGAGTGCACTGGCTTATGTGTTGTCGCGATCAGATGTGGTACATTTTGTTGATGAGCATAATCAAACAACAATATTTTTGGGTTACACCTTGCTAAACAAAACTGACCGATCTATCTGGACAAAAAGAAGAAACATACTCAGCAAGATGCTCTCTTGTATCCTATCCCTGTTAGGCCTCATCGATCTTCTTCATTTTCCACCGCCGCCATCAGCTGCTCCCCATGCGTGCGTGGGCAGGACTTCGCCGCCAGCTTCCTTGCGTGCTCTCACCAGGCTTCCACGTCCTCAGGGACATGCCCGTCCCTCTGTAGGTAAGATCGAACAGCAAAAAAGACTCCCGTGGAAGGTCTGGACCTATTAAGCGATCGTGCCGAGCTGAATACGACATGGGCTCATTATATAAGTATATATGTAGTATTTTAATATCCATCGTGCACGTTCATAAACACATTAATCTCGTACGGGTACTTCACACATATATATATATATATATATATATATATATATATGTATATATATATATATATATGACAAATTTTATTTACAAGCAATGGTAGTTACCTCCTAATTATCCACCGTCGATGTGCAACAGGACAGATCGGGTTTGCGAGCGCGCATGAATCTGTTATTCGCATGCAACCTAGTTTTTTAATTAAATAATCCGGCCGATTTACCAGCTAGTTTAAACAACCCACTTGATTGTCGCTGCATGCATGCCTGTTGCATGCGCTAGTCCGTTCGATCCATAGTAATATCATTTTTTTATAGAATCTATAGAGTAGTATGTTGACACCTTAACTGGATCAGCACGTCTTGGAATTATGTGTATATCTACTAGCTTAGAGTGCTGTTGGCCGGCCATGGTACGTATCGAAATATGGATGTTTAATAGAGAATTTTCAAGTTATTAGTTAAAGGGATTAATGAAGAGATGAGTATATTCATCTAATCTCAGGAGTATATGAATCTAAAAAGGAGTATATCACAAAAAAGGAAGTTGAAAAGGGAGTATTTTTCATACTATCATACTCCCTTAGTTTCATATAGTATGTAGTATATCACATCACGCAAAACATGTATGCAGTATAGCACTGAACAGTTTTTTCTAGAAATGTAGTATCGAGTATATATGAACTAAGGTAGTATGGAGTTCATATAGTATGTAGTATATCACTGACAATTTTTCTAGAAAGGTAGTATATGACCGAAATGGAGTATGAAGTATCTTTTTTTAATAGTGCGAAGTATATTTCTAGAAAGGTAGTATGGTGTATATAAACAAGAGTGGTATGGAGTATGTCGACAAAAATAAGAGAGTTTTTCTTTTAATTAAGTTGCAAAAATATAAAACTATAGGATTAACATACTCCCTCTGTCTCAAAAAAACGTCTCAATCTTAGTACAACTTTGTACTATAGTACAAAGTTGAGACACTTATTTTGGGACGGAAGGAGTAGTATATTTTATCATTCATGTGTACACATCATGTATATGTATATACCTCAACTTGAAGTATGTTGTCCTAAAAGAATACTCCGAACACCATTCTAGTGACCATACAGGGTACTATCATCATAGGCTACAATCAGTACATTTTACTAACATGAACGATGTGGAGTCCAATTATCGATTGTATCTATACAATCCTGGCCGCCGGCCTGCTGATATACACAAGGCAAAACGAACTAGTTCTACTAAGGACAAGCCATGGAGATTTAGAACGTGCAAAACATCTAGCTAGATACTCATGATATGTATGCATGTCTTGTAGCCATTGTTGCCGCTGGATTATGGGGTAGCAGATCAGGTATGTATCTGGTGTTGATGAAGGCGGCGTATATTTCAGTGATCTCTGACACCTTGCGCATTCAGACGGCCACGGCGGATTACACAGTTTGGTTCCTTAGGAGTGAGTCGATGCAGCTAGCGTTGTGCTGCAAACACGGAGCCAATACTGGATTTGAGGGACGTCGTCGGCGTCGGCGTCGGCCATGCTGGCAGGCCGGATGGCGGGGTGCATATCGGATAGCTGAAAAATCCACCAGCCAATAAAATACGTAAGTGGCTTGCTAGTGCTTCCGGAACATTAATGGAGATAAAAGGAGACGATCAAGCATGAAGATTATACATGAAACGATGGAAATCACAAACGAAAAAAGAATCTCACGGGATGCATGGATGGAAATTGCAGGGCCATACGGAATACCTTATTTGTTGTTGATAATTGCCCCAGATCCCATTATTTTGGTGCAGATGTGATTTGGAGAGAGAGAGAGAGAGAGAGAGAGAGAGAAAGAGAGAGAGATCTTTGGATGGCATCGATCCAGGAAAGGCTGCGCCATAAAAATCGGGACGTCCGGCCAACAACAAATCGGGTTCAAGATTAATTACATTTTACTGTGCCCGATCCGTTTAGGAATGCACGAATCTAAAAGAATCTAACGGCAATAGAGATGGAGGTAATTACCATCTAGTGGTAGGATGTATTTTTCCTATATATATAGTGTTACTATTCATCACCCAGGGTGCAGAATAAATTATTCTTCATGTGAGGTAATCTTACAACATTTCATAAATAAATTACATTTAAAATACAAATAGTTATATTCATATTGGATTTACTGCATAAAATTTGGCATAACAAAAAAAATATAGGTCAAAAATTGTATTTTATGTACATTTTACACTATGTTTTTACATTTGTAATTTTACGTAACATAAAAAAAATTACGACGATTATAATTTTTCTTACGTTCTCTTTTTATGTCTAAGTAAGACAAAATTTACGGAATGTAAAATTACGGTGCATAGATATTAAAATAGAGATGGGTAAAAAATAACTATTTTTCACCCAGGGTGACGAGCGCGCAAAATCCTAATCATGCGCTCCGGCCGCTACGCCCACTGTGGGTGCCGTTCGGTCGATCAAGTGTTTGCTACTGATGGTAAAACCAGTTGTAAAAAGAAGTAATGCAATTTAATCGGTTACTAGATGTCGTGGACAACTCCTTCGCCTCGTAAGGCCACCCTATTAGTCTTGGTAAAAGATGCAGAAAATATAGTAACGTAAATAGTTGTGTTACCGTCAGTCACACACCACCGTACGCCCGGCAAAAAAGTAACCATTTTTTCTTTCTTGTGTGTGCTCGTAAAATACTAAGACACATAGTAATGCTCCACGTCTTTTTTTTTGCTTGGTCAACCTGCAAAGTGATTAAACATTTTACGACTGAAAATCTTTTCTTTGCTGGTGACTCGAAATCAACATGAGATTTGATAGTAACACACCCCATGTTTTATAGTAAAGGTGATAGACTCTTTTACTACTTTTTGTGTTGCGATTTGATGGTAATCCACTTAATGTCGAGTAGTGAACCCAATGGATTCTTTTAGCACACACCACTACATAGAGGAGATGTACACGGATGGAGTTAGTTGGCGTTGATATTTTGATGGTAACACATTTAGTATTCATTAGTAAAACTGATAAGTTCTTTTACCACCCACTAATACAGGAGGGGACGTAAGGGTGGATTTAATTGATTACTAGAACTGCCACAGGGTGTTACCACACTACTAAAAGTGGACACAACTTGGGTAGATAAGGCTACGTTGCTTGGGATGAATGGATAAATTACTAGAATTACCATTTAATATTACTGTATAATTTAAAATGGACTTAATAGATTTATCAAAAAC